TGCCAGCTGCCGAGGAGGGTTTGAAGGCGGTCCAAAATGCCTCACGTTGCCTTCGGAAGCCCATAAGAAGAGAGGAGGCAGGCTTCGGACAGGCCACAGAGAGGCCGCAACAGGCCTGCCAGCTGCCGAGGAGGGTTTGAAGGCGGTCCAAAATGCCTAACGTCGCCTTCGGAAGCCCATAAGAAGAGAGGAGGCAGGCTTCGGACAGGCCACAGAGAGGCCGCAACAGGCCTGCCGAGAGAGGAGGCAGGCCTCGGACAGGCCACAGAGAGGCCGCAGCAGGCCTGCCAGCTGGCGAGGCCTCGGACAGGCCTTTGGAAGTGCTTGGAAGGGTTCTGCTAGGCTTGGCCAGCTGCTTCACACTGCGGTGTCCCAGGCGCCTCCCCGCCTAGGCTTTGGCTATAGGCCGGGGTCGGCGGATTATTAGTCTATTAGGCACAGTACTAGTAAACACGATCGAAGGTATTAGGACGCAGGATAGCTCACGCTTCAAGGAAGCTCCCCCCGCCCTTGAAGAAGTGTTCGCCTATTCATTTGGTTCCTAGAGCTTTTGGATGATAATTTCGTTTCTTTTAAGAAAAGAACCACGGCCACGTGACAGTTCACATGAGGAACACATGCTCTTAGATTCAGACCCTCACCTGGTTTGCCTAGCGTAGCTTTTCTCTACAAACATGATCCTTATCCTTATGCGGGAATTTGGTGCTGGCCACGTCTTTGGAAAACGATAGCTTTAAGCGCACATGACGGTCCGCTCCCTGACCGACGTAAGATCATGTAAGCTAGTTCATATTGAAGATCATCAAAGCTCCAGCATACCTCTTCAATATCTGAGCCCGAACACCAATTCTCACAGATTTTGCAGTTGATATCCCGGCACGTGAGAGATGAGTTCTGAGTATCACTGAAGTCAGCAGGCGCCAGACTCTAGTTGGAAAGCTCTTTTACGGAAAACTGTCACCTTTGTTTGAGGTTATTTTTCGTTTATTCAATTCAATGTAATTATTAATTATATATTATATAGCTGAGCAGCCAGTCAGTTGATCACTACCCTGAACAAAGTAACAAACACCATTTAAATTTCACAAATAGTTCAATCTATGGGTTCAATTATTACTCTTGTTCAACAACTTGGTTTCAGTATTTAGCAACTCAAAGATCACTTGAATTATTTGGTTTGCTTCGAATAATCTAGACTTTTGTGCGTTTATTTTTTGTTTGACTCATTCTCACCACCAAGGTATAGCTTGCAGCGGAGATTGAGGAGTTCCTGCATCCCAAGATCCTTGCAGCCCGACACCTGCTTGCAACTGGTGCAACCACTTGCGCTTGAATGCAGATGTAGGCTCAGCACTTTAAGAGATGGGATGCAACTTGCTTTGCTCCGGGTCTTTCGCCAAGCATGAGGAGAAGAAACCCTTCATGGCCTTCTCTGGATCTGGCCTTCTCCTAGGCTATTTTCATGGCATCGCCGCTTGGCAAGGCTCCCTTGAAAACCGCGCGCAAGTGCTTCTCAGTGTCAGACATGGTATGAAACACGTGGCACATGGCACATGTTGACCACTCCCACGTGGCACACGTTGATGCCCAAGGACCAAACAAACGAACGATCATGATCATTTTTTTTTTCGCGAGGTTTGCTGTTTTATTGAAACTAGATTTTCTTTGCCCTTGACCAGTAGCTGCTTCTATCCGCTCTTGTGCCGAGGTCACATACATACGAGACCATTTCTATGTTGAGAACCTGCAGCTCTCGGGAATCAGTGGAGGTTCCTGGTGGAAACTATCTATATATAGGCTGATGATTGCGAATCACCAAATTAAATGCATTGAAGTGAGATCTTTGACTTGACCTCCCAGGCTGCTCAACAATTCTTGCACTCGCCATGGGCATTGATTTGTATCAGATCCTTCTGTTGCTTTGCATTGATTTCATTAAATGACAAAAACTAGTAGTAGTAGTAGTCGTCGTATCTTGTAGTAAGATGCATGCTAATTTGTGAAGCTTGACAATGACATCTGATGGATTGCTGTAAGAAGTGTCCCGCCCAAACCCTTGAACCATGATTGCTGCTGGTCAGCATGCTCAGAAGTCATTTCCAGATCCTGTCAGTATACAGTACCTTTTTTCAAGGCAGACTTCAATGCCGCTTGTTTGTGGTGGCAAACCTGTTCAACATTGAGGGTGAGCAAAGGAACTCGTTTCCAAAAACAGCCAGACATGTCATTGCAATCTTGAGCGCTCAGGTTGGGCTTACACATGAAACAAATATTTTTGAAGAAGGGTATCTACTGGCATGACTTTGAGGTCCTCAACCAGCAAGAAGCAGTATGCCGAAAGCCGCGCAGCATCGTGCAGCCATTTTTACTTTGTGTGTTTTCTCTGGAGCAATCGAGGACATGGTGGAATTTACCATGCAACACTGGAAGCAGATTGGAATCTCAGATGAAGATGTGGCCGAGCTTGCTGCTAGAAAGCAGTGCCACATAGGCACAGCATGGCACGTTTATCAAGGGTTGAAGAGGAGTCCTCAGTCTGAAGCTTTGCAAAGATAGCATGAGAGGAGTTACAAAGTGCTTTCCACCTGGGCATTGCTGCATTGAAACTCCTCACACACTTCGGGACCTGGTGGCTTTGGTGCTCTCTTCGATGAGCGCACCTGAACTTAATTGGTTCTCCTTTACTGACAAATGTCTGAGCAAAGCAAGTCATTGATTTCCATGTTATGTCCCCTGCATCCTGTGAATATCTGTGTAGCATGTGTCAAACACAATTCCCAAGCCTGCCAGTTTGGCATGGGTGAAAACATGTGTCAGGTCGTGCCGTTCTTCCGCACACCTGGTATTTACGAAGGCACCTGGTTTGCACCTGTTTGATCTTTTTGGGCCTTCACCGGCAACGGTGATAGCATGTTTTTGCAAAATGCTTGTCCAATGATCCGCAGGAAAGTACTACATTGATGGTGGTTTCTCAGCAATGTACTCCGTTCCTCCTGGTCAACGGTGGGACGAGGCTTGCAGAAAACTGCTTCAGTTCTTGCTGCTTTGGATGCTCTTTGAGAAGTGAATCAAGATATTTCCAGATGGCTTTCAATCATTCTCCAGCATCACGACTGGAGGTCATCAAGGTCACTTGCTTCCCCTGGTGGGCCACATTGTTTCCTCCTGCACTGGGCATAGCTGATATTCAGCCTTATCGCTTCATGCCTACCGAAGTACGGTTCCCAGCTGATGGAACGAGAATGAAAGATCCTTTCTGAGCTGCTGAATTTTTAGGTCTTTTTGAAGCTTTGTCCTACCGCAGACGGGAAGGGTTTCCCTCACAATTGATTTTTCCTTCTTTGGAGAAGAGCAGCTAGCAGGTGTTTGTGCTTTACCCGTGGGAGCACCAACGAGAGCTGCAGCTTGGATCGTTCAGTTTCCATTCTTTTCCTTTGGTGCTAAAACAACCTAAAACGCTTCCAATTTCAAAGTAAGATATTCTGAACACTTTCCATTCCTAGTTCAGGATCAAGCAGGGCTACGAGGATGCCAAGCTTCAGCATGACCAGCTAGTTGCCAGAGGATTGCGCCCCTTGCCAAATGCACCCTTGACACCATGGCTGGGAACCCGGCAGGTTAGCTTCTAGCTTCCGGCATGGCCCGGAATGCGCCAACTCTTAGGTCTGAATGGGAAAGCCTCTTTGCGGGTATTGATGAAAACAATTTGCCGCCCTTGAGTTCACAGTGCCTGGGCCAGAATGGGGGGGACGATGTTTGTTTGTTTGTTTGATCATTGGAAGAAAAGCACAACGCGCTCGCACAGCTGTTGGACGCCGGCGTGTCTTGATGAGGCGCTCCACTGTGGTGGCATCGGAGATGGAGAAGCACCACTATGCCGCTTGTCTGAACAATCTAGAATTAGAACAGTTCACAAGCTTTTTGAATTCTATAGAGTACATCAGTTGCAGTCCCCGATTTTCGATTCCTCCGACGTCCGATTCCTCGCACACCCTGAAACGCTTTTGTGCTCTCAGGAAGTTCTTCGCACATTTTCGCAGTCCGACTTGCATGATGTCCTGAAGGGCCCCAGGCTACGACGCTTTGACTGTGCAGGCGCGCCTGTTTGAATTATTGAGACTTTTGATGCCATGTTCTCCATGTAATTCTTAGACTTCACCTCGGCGGGGATTGCGGGCCTACTCCAAAATACTTATCAAGCGGATTGCTAATCTTGGAGCCAGACGAATTCAGCTTGCATTTCCTGAATCTGAATCGTGCTAGGCTCTCGCAGTGAAGCAAATTGTGCAGAGCTATACAAGTCTGCCTCAATCATGTCGCGCGCGTGGAGATAAATCTATCGCTGGCGGATTTCCAGGAAGACATCCTTTGAAGTGTCCTCCTCAGGAGCAAAAGACAATTTAACCATTTAGTGCAACAAAGTTCTGGCTTTCAAGGACAAAGCCAAGCTAGCCAAGCTGATCAGAATGACGCGCGTGAAAAGCGGTGCACAACAATCTTTTGGACTCATGACGCTGTGGAAACAACAGCATGCCTCCCACGAAACAACGACTGAAGCCGCGTTAACGACCTGTTTGCAGATACAACGACTTCAAGGCACTGCCAGAAAGTGCTAGAGCCTCAGGGCGCTGCCATCCTCCATGAACAAAGGGATTAGTTATAAATAAGTTATATATACAGATTGAAGATGTTTGAACAATCTGTTGTCCTCTATTTCTTTGCCGAAGTCAAGCAGTTGTTTGATGCTTGCTTGTTCTGGCAAAGCTTCCAATCACCTTCTTCGCTCGTCCTCCTAAGGTTTGCGAGCTCACATCGTTAACATCACTCGATGCCAGCTACTTCGAAAGCAGCAAGACAAGCAAGGCAATTCTTAGCCAAGCAGAGATCTACAGTATAAGACCCAGACAGATATCATGTGGGTGTGGACCAGGTTTTGACCTACCGCAGTGGAAATGTGGGAGAAAAACAATGACAGTAATGAAACAAACTATGTAATATTGTTCAAGTTGCCTTAGGCTTCAGCATCAGGAGCCAAGCAGTGCCCAACACCAATCTGCTGGCTTACTCAGGTGGTAATGAACTGCGATGGCTTCCAAGTGGAATAGGCTCAGAAGCTGAAGAACACTTGCACAGAAGGGAGGAGAATAATTCTCGCTTGGGTGCAGGAGAGCTCATTAATTTGAAAGACCTGGGCCTTGCGCAAAATCAGCTGTCTGAATTGCCACCCATATTTCGATTGTCAAGGACTAAGACAAAGACAAACAGGGGATGACAGGGGAACATAACTCAAGCAGTGGCCAAATTAACGATCCGTATACTTTATTCTTAAACCGGTGTCACATAGTGTCCCCTCCAATCTCCAAGGCAAAAGCTTCAAATCTTGGACCTGCAACACAACCCTGAGCTGACGTCTGTGTCAGAGAAGAGGCGCTTCTCGGGCCTGTGTCATTTCTACATGGTACTAAAACCGCTACTTCCGCGTGCAGCACGTTCTTCTTGGCAACCCCCATGACTTGAGTTGTTTGACAACGACACACAGACACACAAATCTTTGGCCAGATCACTATAGGTACCGTTTCTTTCTGCGGTTGGCACTAGCTCAGTCAGTCCTGCGTTTGGCTGAGTCTGGCAGAGGTCCAGGCCTGCTATTCTTGAGCGGCGAAATGCAGCTAGCCTCTGGTGTGATCTTCAGCCAAAGGACACACCAAGCAGTCACAGATGTGCAAGGCAGAGCTATCTTCAGCTGGCAACCATATCTTCTGAGGGTGTTGACATCCAAGGTTGGCTACACTTCTGAAGTTTGGTGAATTACGAGATCTTCGCATTCGTTCTGAGAAAGATGTAAAGACCTTAACAGAAACAGCATATGTCCTGCAGTCCATCTCTTCTGCATATTGGAATCACATGGTCTTTACTGCTTGCAGTCAGAGCATGTCATATCATGTTATCATATGAAACATCATGATGCACAATGATGTACAATGTAGGAGGTGCTTTGCCCAATGCTGAGGACGGATACAAGAAGGATTTGCTAAGGCAGCTGCAGTCTGATGAGCCCTGTTCTCAGAGTCCTGGGATGACAGGCATGTCCTAACTTTATGAAATTCAATCGGTCCGGCCATGGCGTCCAGTACATTTTTTCTGCGAACATGAGCATCCAGCACATTCCATTTGGCACTGGCACCAAGTGATTGAGTCAGCAGTTTCCGCTGTGCAGGCTAGATTTCTCTGATTTGCAACTACGGGCAATTCCTTCGAGTCTGGAGCACAATGACTCTTTCTCTTTTAAGCACGCGATTGTATAGTATAAATTATAGTACCAGTGCTTGATTTCTCAAGACCAATATCATCTTCCACCCGAAAGCACAACTACTACGAATGTCCAGCCTTGAGCCGGTGTAAGGTTTAAAGGGCCTTACCACCATGCGACAGTTGAAAGCAAAACGAAATGAGATTGAGGCACTGACGTGATGATTTGTCTCTTAAGCTTTGTCCGGCCGTCTTCCACAGCGAAGACTGCCAGGCGTTCCCAGCAGAGCTTTGCTCCTTGAAGAAGCTGTCGCACTCTCAGAGCCCTTGAAAGACACAGCTGTGCCACGTCCCAGTCGAGGCAATTCCTGGACCTGTACAGTAACAAATTGACAGGCCTGATCTGTTTATTTGAACAGGTTATACATATGATTATATATTGTTGTTATATATATAAATTGATTAAACTGATTCACCAGTTTCAAACTGAATTCTCAGAGGCTTGCCTTCCAACATCGGCAAATTGGAATGCCTCACAGAGTCGCTCACTTACAACGTTTCAGAAATGAAGAGTATAGTACACTGTTCAGCAACCACCCGAGGCTGGATCTCTCAAACAACTTGCTTGTGGAGCTTCCAGAGAGTGGCTCAGCTGCATTTCTACGTCCAAGCTGCGGGCAACTGTTGGATCCAAGTTCCTCTCCTTGTCCAGCTGTGATTGTAGTTCAATGCTCTACTAAGTTGATCCGATCAATAGGATTCAATAGGCATTAGAGGGGATGTTGAGGCAAGCTCCGAAATAAACACAAATTGTGGGAAGCTCAGGGACTTTCATTCTTATGGGTCCCATATGGTCCCATTCAATAGAAGTGGGATGCACTTCTCTATCTATTTTGGGGGCGTTGGAAAGAACGCATTACGACGCAAAAACCTTGCAGCACGCGACAGGTCTTGGAGATTTGACTCGCCTTGCAAGGCCTGGCGACCAGCGTCGTCTCAAGCAACGCCGATTTTCATCATGCCGACTCAACGCAGGTTGGAGGTTGGTCAGAACAAATTGCGTGAGACTCAGCTTCTGAATGTTGAACAGTTGGCTTTGGAGTTTCAGTGGTATCCGTGCTGGCTTAGGAGCAGCTTACCAAAGAGACTTAGCAAGTTGACTTGCTTGACAACATTGGGGCTCAGGACGAGTCGACAACCTTGTTCATGTCGAGTATCCCAAAAAAGAACAGCACAAGGGTCACCTGGTCAATTGCAGCAGAATACTTACAGTATCTAATCCAGGTAGTGGATGGTAGTAGGGCAAGGGCAAGGTACTTTTTTTTGCGCGAATCTTTTCAGACTATTTTTTGGAAGAGCTTTGTGATCCGTTGGTTGCCTGAGGTACACACTGGCAAATGCTTGGAAAGTCGTTTCCTACCAAGATGCCAACAACATTTTCCAGAAACTCACTTGGTCCCCAGGAAAATATTTTTCCTACTGTGTGACATGGAGGCTGAATAATCCAGAATGATTCCGGGGTTGGTGGGGACCGTCGGGAGGGGGGCACCTGAAAAGATATTGACAAACCTAACTGTTCTCTCGAAGCTGTAGGACAAATCTCATCAATGATTTGCCAGACAAACTGGATGAACTGCAAGTGCTCAAGACTCTCGATCTCAGCCCGCTACCTTCTGTTTCTTTGTTGAGCTTTCTTTGTTTCTCGCAACATTTACTTTGCATCACTTGTTCCTTCAATCTTTGGACCATCCCTTGACTCACATCCAGTTCTTAGGCGGAACTCCTCTTGGAAAGTCACTTCAATTGCCCCAGCGACTTGGCCGATTCAAATTGAGACCGATTTTGATGAAAGCAATTCAGCATTTCAGGCACGGACACTGTCCACTAAGACGAACGTTGGGAACCCAACTTGGATGTTTGATTTGCCAAATCTTCTTGCCGAAGCAATGATGTATCGACAGGCTGTATCTTATGAACAAGTATGACGCCTTGCGGGTGATCAAGCTTCATAGGTCACAGCTACATCCTGAGAGCTGTCTGAGTGATTCTGTGATATTCTGTGCCCGCCACTCTTGGGTGGGAACAATGGTACTCGTAGCAGGACTAGTCGTAGAAGGCAACTCCGCAGCAACACTAAGAAGGGCAGAATGAAGGGCAAAGTCGCAAAGTTTGGTAGTAGGTTCATGTAGGTTCTAAAGACAGCAAAACACCCTCCATGACCTATCAACGGCTGTAAGCTTGAACCACGCAGTTTCCAGGATGAGTGCTCTACCAGATGATCTGGCTTCGTGGGGGCAAGGAGACCGCAGCTTCGTGGGGACTTGAAGACCGAGAGTCAACCAGGATCAACAAGGTGCTTTTCTGCAACATACAATGAACACAAATAGTCAAGCCATCGCACTGCTTGTCCTGCGCAGGCACTTCCTTCATGCAACCGAATTATATAAGCTGAACTTATGCAACACCTGCCATATCATCGTTGATGCACTGGCTGGTAGCTCGTCCCTCCAACTTTTTGTGTTCCAGCTACTTGGTGCCAGGACCTCCGCCAAAGCCACCTCCAGCTAACTCTGTTGGCTCTTCAGAGTGCTTCTCAAGCAAGCGACTGGCGTTTTTGGCTATCGAAGCTTCTTCTAGCGAATGCCGTCGAATTTAAAAGCCGGCAGACAGCAGCTTTGACGGCAAGTCCGCTTCAGAATGAATTCCTGAGGCACGTTTCAGTCGAACGGACTTTTCAAAAGGCAGTGGGACGGACAAGGTCTGCAGTCTGCACTGAGTCAGACGTTTGCAACAAGTGGTCTACCAGCAGCACCATGATGCTCCAGGAACCTTCTGGCTACAACCGCTTTTTCGGTGCTACATTTGGAGAAGATGAGGCCAACTTACGACCTCAGATCAATTGTATAATGTATAGTGACGCAGATTGCTTTCTCACTGATTCTCACAGGACATCCCCTGCTTTGCCAAGAGGCGCTCAGCCCGAGAGGAGGCAGATGTCCTTGCTTGCGAATATGTCCCTAGTTTTCCCTCAAAACCAAGAAACCTTTTGCTTTGAATTAGTACGTAGCATCTACAAGCTGGGTGT